CCAAACAGCCATTGAAGTCTGGTTTAGGAGACAGTGTGCAGGGGGCAGCTGCCCCAGTCTCCCCCGAACAGACCAGGAGTGAGGGTGACGGGAAGGGTGGGCAGCCTGTGCTGCTGGACTCTGCCCTCAAGCTGCAGGGCAGCTGCTCCTGGCAGAGCTCTGCTGACCTCTCTGATGGGGGCCCTGGGATCTGCCTCTGGCCTGCTTGCCCAGTCAGCTGACAGCCTTACTCACCAAGAAGGGAAACATGGCCCAGCTGTGGGCCGTGGGTGGGGTCAGACCATCAGCCTGGTGACTCTGAAACACTCCCCAGTTTTATCACCCATCACAGACTCCCATGCTTTCCCCCCTTCCAGCTTAACAGCTCCTACTCATCCTTCAGGGATGCATTCAGCAGTCACCTTCCCCGGGAAGCCTAGCCTGGTTCCTAGGCTGGCTAGCCCCTGCTTCTGGCCGCCTCCATCATGGGCATGACCCGGGTTTTGTGTTGTTCAGCAGAAGGTCCCCCCACCCACTGGCTGGAGCTCCTTGAGGAGCATAAGCCCACCTCAGTCACTTCCGGAGCCCACAGCACCCAGAGCAAGTGTTCAATGTGGGGCAGGCTGGGAGCATAGCTAAGTCTGGGGAGCAGGGGGAGGCTTTGGAAAAGCTCTGGCTTCCCTTCTCTGGAGAACCACTGTACTGGAGAGGGCCTCGCGGGAGTGGGGAGAGCCTCCCTCAGGCAGGCCCAGCCTGAGCCCTGGGAGCAGGTTAGACACTAGAAGCCCTGCTGGCAGAGGGAGGGAGGGAGGCAGGCAACCTGTGTTCCATATGCTCGGGGGTCTTCCTTGCCCTGCAGCAGGGCTCCTAGCCATGGCATGTGGCACTGGCCATGCCAGGCACCCCAAGGAAGTTGCTCCTAATGGTAGAGACCACAGACTGCACCTATGGGGCAACGTGTCGTCCATGCACAAACCGGCTCCCTCACACCTGATACTGCCTTGTGGGGAAGAAAAGGGGTAGGAGTTCAGCTCACGTGGAGTTAGGAACTGGACTCAACCCTGACTGCACTTAGGAGCACAGCTTTCATGGTGGACAGTGGTTGAGAATGGCTCATGGTCAGACCCTGAGCTCTCCGAGGGCTGCAGCTTCTGCTCCTCCAGCTCCTGCTTTGATTCAGTTCAAACCTGTTCTGTGCAAGTCCCAGTCCAGCATCGTCCTAGTGCCCAGGGGCCTGGGCAGCAGGGACCTTCAGAAGGCAGTTGGGGATGCAAGGCAACAGTGCCCCCAGCCCCACGCCTGCCTCTGTGCTGCCCCCCTACACCTCCTGCACTCTGAGCCCAGCACCTCCTCCCTCCCTTCCCAGACTGGAACCAAAGAGGTTTAGTCTATGCAGCTCTGGATGTCAGGGCTAGGCCCAGTGTGGGGAATGCTCTTCCCTGGTGGGGGACTTCATTCTGCCCCCAGGAAGGACTTTCTCATAAGCACAGCTAGCCCACAATGGAGAGGCTGACTCAGGAGACAGTGAGCTCTCTGTCCTTTGAGGTGTGCAAGCAGAGGCAGTAGAGGAATCTCTGCCCTTGGGAGGATGGCACTGGGGCCAGATGGCCCCAACTTAAGCCAAGTGGGAGTCTGGGCATCCTGCCTCAGAGCTTAGAGAGAGCTGGCTTGAGGGTGGGGGGTGTGGCAGCACCATCTGGGAAGAGTAACAGCGTTAACGTGGCACTTGCTGTAGCTGCTAGGCCTGCCGTCTGCTCAGGGGAAAGAAGCAAGCCCTGGTGCTTAGAAGGGCTGAGGGGACTCTCATGGACACCCAGATGCCTCCTTCCAGCTGCCGGGCGGGTGGATTCCCTGCAGCTGCATCCCGGGGGCTGGCTTGGGAGAGCTTCCCAGACTAGGTCAGCCGAGGCCAGAGCCCAAGGACTTGGCTGAGGGGCTCAGGGCTCCTTCCTGTCTCTGACATCCTGGTGCCCGGATGTTGTGACTATGGATGTTGTCATGCTAGTGGACCAGGATTCAAATCTACTCACTTGGTGTGTGGCTTTAGCAAGTTGCAGGCACACCTCCAGTTACTGGGAGCTCACTGCTTCCCAAGGTGGTCCCTTGGGCAAGACAGCTCTGTTTGCTAGGAAGTTACTCCTGTTGCTGAGCTGAGATCCCTTTCTTTTGAGTTCCCCATCAGCTCCAGTGTTTCCCACATCTGCTCTGTTCCCAGTTCCACAACCCCTGCCTCCCCAGTAGCTTCCCCAGGCCTACATGTCTGTCACCTGCCATCTACCTCTGTTGCCCTCTGTGGGACACACACACCTCCCTCCCATATCCCTTACCCAGTGGGTCTCAACATCAGGGCAGATCCATGGCCTCCTGGACAAGTTCCCCAGGCCCAGGGCCCCCTGGCTGAGGGCACACCAGCCCTTCAGCAGCCCCATCCCGCAGGTGACTCCCCAAGCTGGCAGCAGTCAAACCCCCAAAGTCCCCTTTCCACGTGCTGCAGCTGCAGCTCAGCCTCCATCTTCCCACCCCAGAGTTTGTGTTCACTGAACTCCTGAAGCCAGGTATGGCCCCGGCATGTGCCTGTGTTCAGTATCGTCGTGTCAGAATTGGTCCATCGTCCCAGCCTGCAGGGAGCTGCTCAGTCCCAACGCCCTCATCCAACACATTAGCTGTTCCTCTCAGTTTCCCATCCTCTGCAGATCTCCTCCACCTGCTGGCAGTGGCCTTGGCCAAGCCATTGATAAAAGTAGCCAGGAAGGAGAGGACTGAAAGGAGAGCCCAAAGCACATCTCCAGAGACCCTCTCAGGTTCTCTTCACTCAGACAGTCATTCTCTGCAAGTCACTCCCAAAAGTTCTCATCTGTTCCCCAAAGTGATGGTGCCAACTGCCTCAATGGTGACAGACATACCATGCCAGGGGCATTCCCCTAAATGTGGCAAGGGGACCATAGCTGGCCCCCATCACCTGTTTTCAGGGAACCACAGTGGTGCTCATGGTCATCAGAGACCACAAGTCCTCCTTTTCACAATCTAGTCTAGAATTCCACTCTGGTTTGACATCCCGCACAGCAGCAGCAGCAAACCTGAACCCAGGCTGAGCCAGGCCCAGTGCTCTGAGGACCCAGAATTGAGCCAGGTCAGCCCTTCCCTGGAGGAGCTCCCAGGCTGCTGGACAGGCAGTCACAGAAGAGACGATGCCATCACAGAGTGAATGCTAATATTTAGAATGTGTTGTATATTTATTATACACCAGGCACTATTCTAAACCTAGATTAGCCCTCATAATAAACTATCATTATCCCCATTTTATCCTCCAGTGGAAACTGATGGAACACAGCTCTTGAGGAATGCATGCAGGAGCATATCAGAGCTGCCTAGCCTAGCCTGGCAGGCCTAGGGAGGACTTCGGAGGGAACTGGCACCCAAGTGGAGACTCAAGAGATGAGTAGCAGTAGGAGAGGACAGGAAAGGAGAGTAGGGAAGATGCAAGGGGACTGGTTCCTGTGGGACTCACTGCTGCACTCAGCACTCATTCCCTGCCAGCTGTCAGGTGCCAGATGCTGGTCAGACCCTGGGGATTCAGGGGTGAGGGTACCAGCAGAGTGCCCTGTACCAAACTGGGAAGGAAGCACAGGGTTTGGTCCCCTGGGGTAGTGGGCGAGATGGCAGCATGAGGGAAGGCTTCCTGGAGGAAGTGACGTCTAAGCTGGCCTTGGAAAGTAGAAATATGTCAGACTGGAAGGTGGGGTTGGGGAGACAGGGGAATAGAGAGTTCTAGGATGAAGGACCAGCCAGGGCAAAGGTGGTTCAAGGAGCATCAGGGTAACCAGGGTGGCTGGAGTGTCAAGAGTAGGGAGGACAGAGTGAGTCAGGCTGCTCTGGACTGGAGGCCATGGAGGAGCGTGGACAGTCCCTGAGGAAGAGGGGCCCACCAAGGACCATAAATGGGGAGGGGCCCCCAGCAGTCAGGTTAGTCTGTCTGCCCTCCACAGTGTGGTGCACGGGCAGCAATGGGTGCTTCTTGGCATCAAATGGGGTCACGATACCACCTCAGGGGTTGTTGTTGGAACCAGGTGAGGGTCAGTAAGTATTTTTATCCCTCTGTGAGGACACTGACAGCTGCTGCCTCCCTTCCCCATCCCTGTACGCAGAGCAATTACCAGATTGAAATAGGCTGGGCCCTGGAGCTCAGCCAACTCCCCAGTCACTGCAATCTCTTGATCCGCAATCCCTGGGCTCTGGTAGTCGCCAGATGTCTTGGGAGGGAGTCCCAGACCCCTGGGCTTCCTGAAGCTCTTCCCCAGGGCCCCTGAGGATGTTGGGGGCTCCGTGGAGCATTCAGCCAGGCTGGGGGTGGGGGATATGAGGTTACCTCTCACCGTGAATCACAGCTCCGGCAGGAACATTCTAGATCATCCTCATGAAACAATCTGGAAGCCTTGATCTAGCATCTGCATAAGTAGCCATGCAGGCTCCACTTGGAAACTTCCAGAAATTGGGAGTTCACCACCACAAATCTGGGGGTCAAGCCATGGGGTAGATTGTTGACTCTGAGAGTTGAACTAAAGTGCCATTGCATGGACTGGATCACGTTAAAATCATGGTCAGCCAAAACTAGAAGACACTTTTCTTCCACAGGAGTTAAATGAAGTCTGTCATAGAGAGACACTGTGGGACAGGGAGATACCCTGTAGGGTTCTGAATCAGAGACCCCTATTCCTGTCTTGACGATACAACCTACGAGCTGGGTGGCTTGGCCAGTTATCTCTGCCTCCCTGAGCTTTATTTTCTTCATCTGTAACTCAAACTACATAGCCCAGTAAGATGATCTCTAGTCAGAAGTGGCTGTTGAACATTTGAAATGTGGCTAGTGCAATTGAGGAATTTAAATTTTCAAAAAAATTAATTTAAAATTAAAACTTAAAAACCTGAAACAGTATAAAAGTTTTATATTGATTGTACTTTGAAGGGATAATATTTTGGATATCCTGGATTAAAGTATCATTAAGATTAATTTCACCAAAAAATGAATTTCACTGTTTTTTTTACTTTTTTAATGTGACTCCTAGGAAATGTAAAGTGACAAATGTGGCTCTCAAGTCAGCAGTGGTGACTTAGAATGTTAAGGATCAGATGAGGTGGATGTTCAGGTGTTTGGGGACAGTTAGCTCCAGACAAATGATGGTTTCTGTAGCTGCCAGTACTCAAGGGGTTGTATTTTCCATCACAGAAGCAAGACATGCTTGTTCTAGAAATGGTAGAGAATGTGGAGAAACATTAAAAACAAAAAAAGATTACCTGTAATTCCACCAACCAAAAATAGCCACTGTTAAATTCTTTCTAGAGTTTTTTTCTGTGCATGTCCATGTGACTTAATGCTCCCCACAAACCACCACCCCACTCCAAAGGTTCTCCAGAAGGCCACTTTACCAGCTTGGCCTGAAAGTCTGGACTGGACCTTGAATCTCCTCTCTTGTTACTGTCAGTCTGGGAGGGGTGCTGTCTCATGTGAAATTCAGGCCCTCCCCAGCGGTAGCTCCTGTTCTTCCTAGCTTCTGCCACTATCTGCAGCTACCTGGCACTGGCCCCCTGGTGCCAGCCCAAGGAGGGGAGGATCTGCTCTGTGAGCCGATGCCAGCATCTCCCTGCTCCTGTTCCCATCTCCCCTGCTCACCTCCTCTTCAGCCAGTAGGAAAACTCTTTCCATTTTGAGGGGAGGGAGGGAACTGCTTGGGTCCCAGGTGATAGAATTCTTTGCATTTGGTCCGTCAACCATCTCCTTTACAGAGCCCCTGGCCCAGCAGTCCCCTCTTGCTACATCTAGAGCCTGCACCCCTCCTTCCCACATCCTGGTCTGTCCCTGAGTGGGTATCACCTCTATGTTAGACCTCTTCTTCCTTGGGGTGGCCCTCTGAGGGGCCCTCTGCCCCTTTCTGAAATGTTGGTTTCATCTGCACCCGTCTCCTGCACAGTCCCTCAAGTGCGTCCGTGTACATTCATCTGGGCCACAAACCTGGGAGGCATCTCTGTCCCAGGAAGGTTGAGGGCTCCCTGCAGAGCCACCAACTATCTTGTACCTGGCTTTCTCCACTTAACATTAAACAGGGACATCTTTTCAACTACACCATCACTTCTCATGGCTACTAGAGCTCCATTGTGTGGATATGCTGTAACTTTTAGTCTAACTTGCATGATGATGTCGTAGGTTTGTCCTAGGCATTTGCTCTTACAGATAGATACCAGTCCAGTGCCCCTCCTAGCACACATGGTTTATATGGATATTCTAAAATCTAAGGAATTCTTAGTTCTTGCTTTTCAGATATCCATTAAATTCTGCTAGATGTGTTGTGCTGGACCCCACTTTCCCTTTGTCCCCCCTAGCCTGGCACTCAAGGGCACAATCTTTTCTGTCTCACATATGACCAGATATCTCCTCAGATATGGCCTGAGCTCTGACCATATTAAACACACAGTGTGCCTATACTTTCCAGCCTCCCTGTTGACTTTGGCTGTCCCATTGCCTGCCACATCCATCCCCACATCCAAATCTTCCTCACCCTCCCAAGAACCAACCCTCCCAAGAACTTCCTCCTCCAGGAAGACCTCCCTGACTCTCCTAGCTAAGAATGATCCATCCCTCCTCCAAATGAAGGAAGCACCTTATGGCTCTGATGTGTCCACCTTGTCCACTGCTACGTGAGTTCACTTATGTCCTGAGTGTCCATGTCTGTCTCCTTCCCCACCCCTCTCCCAGAGCAGAAGCTGCTGGAGGTTGGGAACTGATTCTGATTTCTTTCAGTGGGCACCTGGCATGGCATAGAGCAGGCATGCACTAAAGGTTTGAATACATACATGAATGAAAGAGGACAGGCCAAGAGTTGGGCATGAGGTCTGGTCCTGCTGGCCACTTGTGTTCTGTGTGACCTCAGGCAGGTCCTCCTCATAAGGCCAGGGCTTCCCTGTGGCCTGAGGCAGTTGGACTTGGCTGTGGGGGGTTCTTTTGTGATCAGAGGATGGTTTAGCCCTGGGCTGGTGTGCTGGCCCTGGCCTGGGGATAATCTCTCTCATGGATAATAATTGCATGGCAGCCCCCCATTTCCCTGGGCCACACAATCCTATCATGAGCCCTTCAGGATTTATGTCTGAGACCCACCCTAAGCCCATGACTAACATATGGTGTCCTGGCAGACAAGGATAAATGGAGATTGTAAGCATTGATTGATTCACTCATTCATTCAATCACTCTTTCATTCAGCAAACTGCTTCCAATCTCCACTCCAGTAGGGCCCTGTGCCTGGCTCTGTGGACCCAGCATTGAATCAGACGCAGGCCCAGCCCTGGAAGCACTTCCAGCAGTCGGCCGCTCAGTGAGGTCAGGGCCAGGACTAAGGGCAGAACAGGGGCTACGGACCAGACATGGGCCTTCACCCCAACAGGTGGTCAGGGAAGGCTTCCTGGAGGAAGAGACCCTGAAACTGTGTCTTAATAGAAGAGCCTTTGCTACAGCGAGCAGGGAAGAGCAGGGCACTCACAGGTGGCAGTTAGTGCCTGGGGAGGGCAGAGTCTTGCAGTACCCAACCTGATGCTGGGAGCTGCCTGCTGTAGTCTAATGTTAACAGGAACTGGGGGTGGGGGTCATCTGCTCTTGTTTACATGAGTAAAACCAGACAAACACTTCCTTTATCTGAAAGAATGAAAGGGCTCTGGAGGAAAATCTTTTTGGCAGCACAGCAAAGTGCAGTCATCTCCTAAATTCATCTCTCACTCCCGCCCCCAACAGCCACGAGAAGCGTGGCCCCCACGGCACTGCTCTGGTGGGCAGGGAGCCCAAGTCAGGGTGAGCAGGGGTGGGGCGGAGCCAGGAGAAGAGATGCACAGCCGCCTGGACACCACCTCCCACGATGGGGAGTTTGGGCCCAGGCACTAACCCAAGGCAGCTACAGGGTGGCTCCCCTTGGGGAAATCTAACCACGAGCCCATTTTACACATGGAGATTCTGAGGCCCCAGGATGGGGAAGTGCCTCTCTTGCTTGAGGTCACATAGCCTGTGGGCAGAGCTAGGACAGGACCCAGGGCACCAGCTCCCTGCTGGGGCTCCGCCTCCCTCCCTCGCACTTAGCTTCTTCTGGGGAGCCCGCAGTAACTGCCAGCCTGGTGGCGCCCCCAGGAACCCACACTGGGAACCAGCGACCTGTGGCAATGCCAGACCTGTCCCTCTCCTCGCATGTCCCCAGGCTAAGAGACAGGTAAACAGACAGTGACAACCAGGGTCATGACAGAGGAGGCCAGGGGCTGTGGGAGCCCAGAGTCGGCTATGTCTAGGAGAGAAGCAGGTAGTCCAAAAGGACTTCACGAGGAGGTGACACTGCACTTGGTCTCACCTAGCGAATAGAGTTAGGTGACTGAAGGATGCTGATAAGAGGAAGCATCATATGCAAAGCCTGGAGCTGTGAGAGGGTTTGGCTGGTGACCCTGGGGGTGGGGAAGGGAGCAGAGCAGAAGAAGAGGCCAGAAGAGCCAGGAAGACAGGGTTATAGTCATGGATTACAGACCTGCGTGTCCTGGAGCCCCGGGCGGGGCCCGGGCGGAGCCAGGCCGTGGCTGGGGTAGGGTGGGGTGGGGTGGGGCTGAGAGTGGGTATGCCCGCCCCCAAAAGGACCCTGACCACGTCACTCTCCCAGCCTGATGTCCGGCCTCGCCTCCCTGGACGCCAGGACCTCCCGCCGCCTGGGCATCCTCACCGTGGCATACTACCTGTGGACCACCTTCGTGGCAGTTATTGTGGGCATCCTCATGGTGTCCGCCATCCACCCGGGTGGGGCGGCCCAGAAGGAGACCACGGAGCGGAGTGGGAAGCCCATGATGAGCTCAGCTGACGCCCTGCTGGACCTCATCCGGTAAGCCCTGCCACACACGCCCTGCTTGGGAGCGCCGTGCTGCGGCCAGCCCGCACGTCTACCAGAGGCAGCACAGAGTGTGGGGGTGGGGGCCCAGCGTGCTCTTCGTTACCCGTGGTAACAAGGGGGTGTAGCCACAGAGGACAGGCCAATGGTGTCTCTGTTCCCTCCGCCGCTGTGCCTCTGGTCTCACGTGGCACTGTCTGCCTCCAACAGGCTGCCTCCAACACCTCAAGGGCAGGACAGGTCGGCAACTCTGGGTGCCCAGCCCCAGCTCACAGCCTGGCGTGGAGCAGGCTTGGTGAGCATTTACTGATCACCTGGGCTTGCTTGTGCACGCCTGGCCTCTAGGTGGACGGCCACTGGCCACTGGCTCCCCCACTGCCCTTTCCTTGTTGGTCCTCTTTTACAGATGAGGGAATGAAGCTCATAGAGATAATGTGACTTTCCCAGGGCCATCCAGCAGGCAGGCCATGGAGCCAGGATTCAGCCCAGGCCTTTCTGACTCCTGGGGCAGTGCTTTTTGCCCGGTGGTGCTCCTGCCCGAGCCACCTGGGCTCTGCTAACTGTCTGCTTCATGGACCTGGTCCCTTCTCCCAGGAAAACGCTGTAGGTGCAGCAATACAACCCAGTCTGATTCACCTTTCCCAAGACTCCATCCAGGCCACCCCTCTCCTCTCTGTCACTCATTGGCTCTCTCACCAGTGCTGGCCCTAGGCCCTGAGGACAAAGGCCCACGAATAGACAGAGCCAACATGGGGCGGGGGCTCCAAGGGGGGAAGCAGGGACCATGGGCCGGGGCGAAGAGCAGGGTCAGAAGAGGCAAAGCCACCAGAGCTGAAGGCTGGGATGAGGGCGGGCAGGGGAGGCTGGGAGGGCATTCCTGGGGAAGACGACAGCTGTGCGAAGACCCTGGGCTGAGAGGGGACAGTGTGGGGAGAAATCATAACCCATCCAGTGTGACTGGGACACAAGGTGAGTGGGGGAGTGGACGATTGCTGCTGGAGAAGTTGGGACCGGGCCAGGACAGAGCCTGGGAAGCACCACATTGGAACAGTTTACTGGCCTCAACGGGATACCCTATTCAACTTGCTCTGTGGCCTCCTTCTAGGCCCTCCCATTTTCCAGCCAATTTCAGATACAAGCCCAGGCTGGTCTAATATTAAAACTCCAGACTCACCCAATTTAAAATGAATCCTGTCCTAGTCTTTTGCTTCAGACTTAGAAAGCTGGGGTGGGAAGAAGATAATAGGTTTTTCTGTCTTTCTTGCTCCACCTCCTCCCGTTGCTGGCACAGGGTTGGAGCACTGGAGAGAGGACAGGGAGTGGGTGAGAACGGTCCTCACTGGGTGGGGAGTGAGCTGGAGTAGGTGCTCATGGTTGTATTCCTTCAGGGGTGCTGTTGTGGGTTCTTTGGAGGCCCTCCTATCGCTGGTGTCTCTCACCTAGTACTCCCTTGACTCCAACAATCCCTGCTCCATCCAGTGCTGACAACACATTCCTCGGTCCTGACCTCTGGTCAACTCCTCTGCTGGGGTCACCTCACCCCCCTGGGTGACCCGCTTGGGTAGGGTCCCTTCTGCAAGGGTCACATCTGGCCCACAGGAAGCATGCTTAGCCCTGTTGGAAGTGCAGGCCTTTTCCAGGTCCTATGGACATGGATCAGTCACTAGCTCCTACACTCCTCAAATCCTAGGGCACACAGCTAAGGTCTCTGAGTAATTCTCTTGGCTTATAGTTAGGGAGAAGTGCTCTTCTCCTCCCCTCTGGGGATAGATGGTTAATGCAAAGTATCTCTCTTTTTCTTTCTCTCCCCCCAAGAAAACTCTCCCCCTCTGTATCAGTTAGTTTTTGTCATGTTACAAACCAACCCAAGACTTAGTGGCTTAAAATAGCTATGAGCCTACACATCATCTGAAAGGTTCTGCTGATTTGGACTGGGCTTGGCTGAGCATACTCGTGTGCCTGCAAGCACCTGGTTGCTCGGCTGGGAAACAGATGACCTTGGCTGAGACGATTCAGCTGTGCTCCAGGGGGCCTCTCATCCACCAGCAGACCAGGCTGGACTTCTTTCATGGTGGTGACAGGATTCCAAGAGAGCTATGCCCAGGCCAGGGCAATTCTTAGGTGAATGTAGAGAGGCAAGAGAGGAAACAGAAATATGAAAGTGTTTTCTCAAGTCTCTGCTTTTGTCAAGTCAGTTAACATCCCATTGACCAAAGCAAGTCCTATGTCCAAGTCTAGACCCAGGGTGGGAGGGAACAACAATGTCACAAGGCAACAGGCATCCATTAACTGGGGCCATCGATGCCATCAGTCCACCAGGGCCTCCATTTTCTCCATTCTCTGGGTTCTCTTTTATCTTTTGAGATGGTGAACTAAGGATCACACAAATGTTTGCCATTTGTTCCTATTCTGTGGTTCTCACCCATGGGGTCTAGAGCCAGGGAGATCCAATCAGGGGCATTGTATCTGTACTTTTTGTTGAATACTTTCCAAACACTGACACTCCCAAATTTTGTTTCCAGCCTGGAAACCTCTCACCTGCATTCCAAATTCATACATTCAGCTGTCTAAAGGCATTTTGAAATGAACACATCCAAAGCTAAACTCTTGATTTTTTCCCCATAAATCTGCCCTTTCCTCAGTCCTGCCCATCTTGGTCCAACATCCCTCATTCTCTCATAACCTGCATCCAACTCATCAGCAAATTCTGTCAGCTCTGCCTTCAAAACAATATCCTCAGCCTTGTTCCTCTGTCCCCCTCAGCCACTCCTGACCTCGCCAGACCACTGTCTCCTCTCACTGGAGCATCCACCGTCCCCACACTGCTTTCTCTCTGCTTGCCTGCCATCTGTTTTCAGCATGGCAGCCAGAGGAATCCTTTTAAAAACCTGCTCACAACCCACCTTATGTCGACAAAACCCCCAGGATTCACTGTGGCATACAGGCAACTTCTGCCACAATCCCTAAACACACTCACTGGCCTCTGACCTCCACTCCAGCTCCCCACCCTGCTCAGCCATCCTGGCCCCAAGGCCACCCTGCAGACATCATTAGGGTCCTGTCTTTGTGCCTTGTCCTCATCACTGCCCCCGCCGTGCGGCCCTTCCTGCAGAGCATGCCTGCATCCTCTCCTCACTCCACCTCTGCTCTGTGTCACCTCTTCAGAGGGGCCTCCCAGCCTCTGTCTCTCACTCTCCTCATAGCTCTTATTATTACCACCTGACGTGATCATGTCTGTGTATTTATTTCCTTTTGTGGCTCCCCCCACCGGAATAAAATATGCTCCAGGAGGGCCAGATCGTTCTGAAACAAGCTGTGTCCTGGAGGCTAGCCCAGCACCTGGCACAGACGAGGTGCCCAGTGTTTGCTGAAGGCAGACGTGGGATACAGGGTCGTCAGTGGAGCCGTGAGAGGAATGTGCCATGCATGCGGCACAGAGGCCAGTTGGAGGTGAGCCTTGGCCCACAGCCACATTGCAGGGCTGTGCAGAGCTCGTGGAGGGAGCTGAGGGCCAGGAGGAGAACCCGGAGAGCAGATGTCCTAGAAGCCAAGGGGAGAGGGATTTCAAGAAGCTTCATTTCTAAGGTCCATTATTCCTAGGGTTTGGTGACTGTGACTCATCATTTCTTGGATTCTGTGATATGAAACAGCCTTTCCTTGTGGTGGAAGGAGCTCCCTGCCCTCCCCACCGCGGCCTCTGCTGCCCAGGGGCTGAGGGCTCTGGATCGGACACTCGTGTCACAGTCAGATGTTCCAGGAGCAGTTCCTGCACTCAGTTGCTTTTCACGTGGTGAAAATTGATCCTTCTGGTTTGAGGCTTTTCCCCAGTTGCTCTCAACCCTGAGGCAAGTTGTTTTGCAAAGCTGGGTGGTTGGACTTCACTGTCACCATTTCTGGCCAGAGAGTAGGGCTGCAGAGAGAGGTCACATGCTGCCTGGGACAGGGAACCAGACTCACGGACATGCGAGGGCTCACCTCAGCCCTGCCAGGGAGTCACCGTGTGGCTCTGGGCGGGCCAGTCCCCTTCTTCAGGTCTCAGTTTCCACAGTGGCTTTCAAGATCCCTTCTAGCTCTGTGATTCTGAAACAGAGGCCCACAAACCAGTGAAGAGGCTCAGGGCATGGGCAGAAGCTTCTGGAGGTGGGTTCTGGGAGGTGAGGCTGGGAGGGCAGTGCAGAGCCTAACCTTGAAGACCTCGAATCCAGGCTGAGGCGTTGATTGTTAGGCTTTAGAAACGAGAAGCCAGTGTGTTTGGAAGGTTGGAATGGAGCAAGGTGGCAGGACAGGATGCCACTGCAGGCCTGGGAATGCCCCCAGAGGGGGTGCAGTCACTTCCGTGACAGTCATCCCACCTTTATTAGGCACCTGCTCTGGGAGAAGACACTGCTGGAAGCTGGGGATGGTGGATGTGCACAAACAAGTGCCTGCATCAGGCTGTCCACCATCTTAGGACAGACGGACGAGAGGAGTGCACTGGACAGCCACTCTCTGAGCCCCCTTCTGGCTCTGACGTTCTGAGAGGCTGGACAGAAAATGAGGCCTGGGAGTAAGGGCACCAGGACCCCCCTTGCTCTGGCCCAGGGCAGGTGCCTACCAGGTACCTGTTACTGAGTGAGAACATGGAGCACCGGGCAGGGACCTGGCGACTGGGAGCCTGTGTGACAAATGGAAACTCAGAAGGCGAGGAGGCCAGCTGAACAGGGCAGTGAGGCCGCAGCACCTCAGGGAGGGGAAGATGTGCCTCCGTCTCTCAAAGATGACCCAGAGGAGCACGCAGGCTGTGTCCCTGGATGACTTCCCAAGGCATGACTTCATTTCCCAGGGCTCCAAGCATGGGATCTGGAAAGCCAACTCCATTCAGTGCAGCCCCCAGAGAGCAACCCAAGCAAGCAGAATGCTAATCAGAGCTGGGGCCCTTCTTTTTTTCCAGTCTTATTAAAACA